GGTTTTACATTTTCATAAACCTGACCATCATAGCCTGGAGGAGAGCCTCTTTTGGTTGTCTCCATGGAAAATGTTGGTCCTTTTACTATAAAAAATATATATATACAGTATGGCATTAAATTTAACTTACAGTATATCTCCTTGAAGGTTGCAGGTCATGGTTTTAACTTTCTCTCTCCATGTAGATGATATGCCACATCCAAAAAGTTATGCTAGTTAGTTAGAAATAGATTTAACAACATTTGACTACATTTACCAAAGACATAAGATATTATAACACCCATCTACAAGATAATAAAACAAATATAACCCAATCATAATAGAGCCCTGTTTATTGGTGGGTCAGGGCTTTATTTAGGTTAATGGGCCTTTAATGCTAAGTATACGCACTTTATTAAATACACTATGCATTAGAACCCTCCCACATATTTTAATAGCTGAAATGCTGTATATGAATAACATGTCCATCTCAGTGTATGTCACATTTACCCCAGTGTTGCCATCATAAACCTGGTCAGTGTCACTGAACATGTGGGAGAGAGTGGGAGGAAAGGGGGAATAATTATGCTCTCTGTTCTGCAATGGGCCAAAATAGATAAAATAACATTAATGTTTCAAAAAAAATATTGCAGTGGGTTATAAGCATACCACTGGGGAACTTGGAAGGTTTTATTAATTGTAAAATACAGGAATATTTTTTGGAACTCTGTGATTCACACATACACACTAAGCACAAGATTATAAAATTGGATTGGAGAAAGGTTTTCACAGAGGGGGGTAAAAATGGCAAAAAACAAAAAAACAAACCTAAAACGGCTTTCCAAATAATGCCAAAATCCCTCAAACTGGGCCAAATGAAAACCTATTTTCTATTGTCTGTATGTATTGACAGAAATATAAAAAATAGTGTTCTTATTTACAAATATGATTTTTTTAAGTTGCTTGAGTGACTTTGCCTGAGTGCAAATGACAAAAAAAAATGAAAAAAATAAAATAATAAAAATCTACTAAAATGTCTTTGTATCTTAGGGTTTTAAAAAGGGACAAAAGATAGTTATAATGTGCCCTCAACTATGCCTCAAGAACTATTTACTGTTTGTTTGGCTGAAAAGTAAAGCCACTTAATTTTGCATTTCTAGAAAGTTAGGTGTAACTTTTTACCTCTGTGAATTAAAGATACAGTATGTAACTTTCTTGAAGTGGTACATTACCTATATGTTTCCATGGCATATTTTGGAAGAGTAATCCAAAGGAACAACATCTCAATGGAAACATGCATGAGGAGGCCCTCCTTCAAGCCAAATAAGAGTCAGGTTTGTGAAGGTGCAAGCCCTCTCAGAGTATGTTTTTTTTTTTTTTTTTTTTTTTTTCAGTGCAATGAATACAACCTCAAAATCCTGCTTTTATTTGTCTATTTTTTTGTCTAAAAGTTATACAAGGTTTAAAATGACCAAAAAACACAGAAATAGAAATCACAGTAAATCTTTACCCCACTGAAACTTGGCAGTCTCAGATTTTTCTCCACTGTCTTGTTCATCCAATCTTCATTTAAAGACTACTTTATTCCATTGGCCATATGTCTTGCAACACAGGACTGATTGTGTGTACGCAACCGAGATGCAACCCCAAAGCCATGTCATATTCTGAGCTCTGAGGCGAGCGAAGGATGCCAAGAAGTGAAACGTGATGATGAGTGGGCGTGTGAGAACCAGTGAGGCAAAGGGAACCTATCCAAGCCTCCATTTGAGTGTGCGTCCTTACAGTATGTGTGACATGTGTGCGCGCATGTGATTGAGACTGCATTTATGTGTGGGAAGAGGAGCCCATCCCTGCAGCCTTCCCAAGTCTGTCTCAGAGGGCCCAACCTCCCAACACACACAACACTCAAGCAGACGAAGGGATTGGCCTTAGCAAGTCTATCCATTATAAGAGACAGCTGAGGATCAGTCTTCTCCTCCTCTTCTTTTCTATGAGCTATGTGCACTTACCAAATGTTCCCACACAGAGGCACAACACAAGCCCCTCGCACAAACCTCATGGTGGTGGATCTATGACTTGGCGAAAGTGGAGCATGCGTATGGACTGCACATGCCAGGAAGTTGGAAAGTTTTGGCAGTTGTCGACTTTCAGACTTACCAGATACCCACTGGGAAAAGTGGTTTTAATGCCCTCTCTCTTCAGTTTTAGCAACTTATTTTTGTCATAATAATTGACACACTCCAGAATGTTGAGACGTTTTTCTACAACTGATAATACCATAAGTGCTCCTTCTTCAATTACCACCATGACTATTTCTACCACTACTACCTCTACCATTAGACATGGACCAACATGTTTTTTTTTTCCATGGCAGATGCTGATGCCAATGGTTTAGAATTTAAAGTAACCAATGAGCAATGAGATCTGACAATATTTTGGGCCAATATGTTGGGCTGATTTGGATTATTTTCCTCTGTAATTTTAATTTACTACACATTCACCCACAGACTTTTTTTTTTTTTACTACAAAACTAAAGGAGAGCTGAGTAGTCATGTTTTCACCAGTGATCTAACATAAAGCTTTATGTGTACTTTTAGGCAGCATTTCGACTAAAACAAAATATCGGCCTGTGCTGGAGATTTAAGGTCGATGCAGTAAAAAGCCTAAGTATCGTCCCAATAGATCAGCCAGTTGATATATCGGTCTATCGCTATCATAATCCCTTACATTTCCTCATATCGTCAACATAAAGGCTTACTCAAAAGAGTTACTCAAATAGTGGAGAGCTGAGCAAGTATAATTATAAAAATAAAATGATTAAAACCATTAAATTAATTATAGACCTTTTTTAGATGCTCATTATATTATTTATTCTGTGTTCGGTTCACAGAGGGTGATAGAGAATATACTACATGTAATATCCGTCAATAGATCTGCTCCCAAACACTGTCCCACATGGCCAGAGCTCTTGTTTGGGATGTCATTGTGGAGACAAAGTGTGTGAAAGAGGATGGACAATGAGGCAGAGAGAAAGAAAGCGCAGATATCAAGTTTCTTTTTGCAATTCACAGATTCAACAGGTAGTTTTAATCTCAGAAAGAGGGTGAAAAGAGCAGGTAAGGGGAGAGGATGTGGGAATTTGAACCGTAGATAACTGCTTTAGTTCTTTTTAACAGTGCTAAGGCTAGACTTCCATACCATTTAATGAGCACAGAAACTAAGAGATGTACATATTTGAACGGTTATGTACAAAGACTGTTGGAATAGAGGAATTAGCTGCCTCGATCAAGCTACTGTGAGGCCCACTAATCCAAAAGCTGAAGGTCTGAACCCAGCTCTACCCTGTGCATGTTGTAGGTGTGTCCTTGGGCAAAGCACTACACTTGCTTTGCCTCCACTGTAGTTTGGTGCATTAAAGAGAATGCATTTGTGAATGAAAAAACAGGACGAGGATGGAAATTATCTTACAGAAACGATCTGATCTGTCCCTACCAAATGAACAAAATAAACAAATAACAAGTCAAATCTCTTAATAGTAGCCTCAAACCTATGTAACCATATCAAGTTCGGATGTGCTTTAGCTCTGTCCATTGAGCTGAAAACCCCAGCATCTCACAACACGCGTCAACAAACAAAGAATCTATGAAAGATAATTATTTGCTATGGGTCAGTAAAATCAATTATTTTGAAGAAATTAAAGAAAATATTGAGCAACACAATATTATTTTATCCTTTCTTAAAACTTTCAAAACTAAAAAAAAAACAACTATTATTTAAACTTTTTTTTTTGCTTTTGTAATAGTCATGTTCTCAAATCAAATTACGCTTGTCTCCGTGACGTCTCTCTCACCACATCCTGGCCCTGGCTTCAAAAGAAGATGACATGTCTGCTGCACGTTAGCACTTTTCCTGTTAATTTTCAGCTCACAGCCTCACACTTATGCCAACGTATAGGGAAGTGAACATTTTCTCACCATCCCTCACACACTGTGCTGTACTGATAAAATCATATCATGGTTAGCTACTGTCCAATCTGTGGGAAGCCTGTCTACTTTGGTGAGTGTGTCCTCTTCATTTTGCTTCTTTCGCCAACCAGGTTTGTGCAGTGACACTTGTTTTATGTTACCAGTATTTTATCTAAATCTGTTGGTTTTTTTTGTTTTGTTTTTTTATGTATTACCATTGAAATGTAGTTTTAATCCTTTGCCATCTACTTTGAATATGTTACAATGTGCAAAAAAGGAGTAAAAACAAGATCTGGTTAGGGTTTTCTACACAAGCACATTTAAGTTATTGTGCATATTGTGAACAGGATGTGGGCAACGTTCAGGGTTTTTGGGGTTCCTTCTTTCTTATTTGAATTTCTAGTTCACCATAGTGTATATACATCAATAACTTGTTCATAGACAAAGTATATGGTAATCCTAATACAACAAATGACTTACTAAAACACCATCACCTCAACTGAATGGGTCATATTGTTAATTAATTAATATGATAACATAATGATGTTTCAGATTTTGCTTAAAACATTTCCTGTTTTTCTCTAGTTTGGCACTTTTGGTGAAGTTTATAATTTTACTTCTATTTGGACAGGGGCAGCATACACTAACCACACACTAACAAATAGCAAAAGTTTGTCTAATTTATGCAGTTAATTTGACAAATACATTTAAATTACTGTCAGAAAAATGTGTTGCTTGTAAGTAATTTGTTTTTGCCTCTTTTTTTTTGAATTTTGTTTATTGATAGCACACATATGAGGGATTTTTTTCTGGATTAAAACTAGCCAACTTCCTATAATTTTCTTCAACATTTTCATTTTTCAACATTTCTTTATAAAACACCACTTGTCGGGTATATAGAGATATTCCGGTCTCATCCCACTAAAAGAACTAATACGTACAAAAACACAAGAACCTGTCATATGCACACGTGTCCAAATCCAGTTCATTTTAGTTACATGTGTGTGCAAAAGTACCATTTGTGCATGTTTCCATGGTTACTGGGCACCTCACAAATCACTCAAAGCACAACAGCCCTCAGACCTGCTGTCGTAGTGCAGCTGGTTTTACTTGTGGATTCAAGTAGCAGCTAAGTTCAAACTCTGTGATGTGACCTGGCCTACTTACCTCTTTTCCTCCACTAACACTGCACTCTCAGCCTCTTTGTACTGCAGCGGGCAAGAGCTCTGGAGAAGACAGCAGCTAACAAGCCTCACACTACTGCAAAACACATGAAACAGACTGTAAATGCACCAAAATGCTTAACTTTTTAACGTATTCATTTTCTGTTGTTTCAATCCAGTTTCCTGATTAAAGATGCCATTTTGAGAACTTCTGGCCATTCAGAAGATACAATAGCGTACTTGTTAAAAATGTCTATGGCGGTGGTGTTGATTTTTCATTACTCCGATACCCATGGCTAACACAATGATGTTCTATGAACTATGACTGGCCTACACAAGCTACAATATTTGTGTTATACGGTTAAATGTGCTCATTGTAATTTTTCTGGTGAAGGGTCCTCAAGCTACTCATCTCCATGATGTTATTGCTTTCCCAACAATGTTCCATAGTATTAAACCTCACACTGTCTATCTCTATGGGGACAAGCAGGTGACCCCAAGTGGTCACGCTGTTGTTACCTTAACCCTAATCCATTTAGAAAGCATGTTTTCTAGGCATTTTTAGACAAATGCAAAATTTAACTGTTTACTGCAAAACTGTGGAACATTCCTGGCTAAGAAATAACACTCATCAGAAAACTTACATAGTGCACCTTTAACATTTTTATTCTTATACAGGAGAAAGGAAGAGGTCATTAGGAAGAGACTACCACCCACTGTGTCTCAAATGTCACAAGTGTAACAGACAACTCAACGCTGGACAATGCAGAGGTATATGGCAAAGGAAATATAGTATATAGAAATGTATAAATTAAATGAATTCTATTTTTTTATTTCAGTATGACGAGAAGCCATACTGCTCCTACTGCTACTTAAAGATGTTTGGTCCTAAAGGTATAGCTATAAACTGTTATATACAATGTGATTTTTAATGATTACTGATGTTCTTTCTTTGCACAGGTAACAGGTAACCATTGGTAACCACCTGACCTACAAACCAACCATTAAAGAAAAAAAAAAATTTCACCAATAGATAAGGATGTCCTCATGCTCTAAAGATGGACAACATCTACCAGCCATGATGATCTAAAAAGTGGAAATTGTACTCCAAAACCCTAATGTAATAACATGTAATTACTCTCCAAATCAGACCACCTGTATTTGCCCCCAAATACTCAAAATGGGTGATACTTATAAAAAAAAATAAATGTATGTTATTGTTTGGATTTATTTAAAATGCTTAAACATAAAATATGAAAATTAATGTAAAAGAAAAAACATAAAGTACTAAAGACAACTACCTTTACTTTACTTACCCTTTTTATATTGTTACCAGGCATGGGCATGGCAGTAGGTGCAGTGTAGATGAAAGTAAGTCAACATAACCTCCTCACGCCCCACTCATACTGTATATTTATGTTGTAGGTCCACAAATTGGTTCTTTTGTTGCCTCACTGACAAAGAAGGAAAACTGGGAATATACCCATAAGGCCATTAGACACAAGAAAAGAAGACCCACAATAATGTAGTTTGCATAAAAAGACAACCATACTGATTTAAGATATGTACAACTCCTTGTTAACCAGAAATATTTTGTATATAGTATCATTTATGTCATATCTCTCAAATAAGAGCAAAGTCAATGTGATGTAAAGCATGTATTTGCATAACACCCAATGTGCCTGAATTCATGAATAATTTGCCATGTGTGCATTTGAGTATGGACCCCCAGGTACCTTTGGCACGGGGCCCCTGCATTTTCACACTCAAGGGACTCGGGTAAAAGAGTAGGAGAAGAGGGATGGAGGAGATGGTCTCTGTTGGCAGGGCAGAACAGTTATGGTGCCAGCAGAATCCACTGGAATGGAGCGGGCATCGATGTATCTCTGGCACGTACACACACATGTTCATACATTGTGTGGGGCTGCAGGGGCCTGTCACACTGTGCTGAAGGAAGAACACAGCCTCACAAGCACAAAGAGAAGGCACTGTGTATGTAGTGCACCGAGAATGTCATCAAGATATACATACGCGCATTTTCAATCCTACTTTTTATGAATGAGGATCTATTGAGATATGATTTGTTTAAAGGTCCTACATTAAGCAAACTGACTCTTGGGAGCCATGTTGCAGTATTGTTTCCTCCTCAAAAACATACATGGGCCTGTGTTTTGATTCATTCACACATACTTGGCCAATCCTGTATTATTCCTCAGCCTACATCTCCAAAGCTGAAAATGCTCCATTCCACCTTGTGATGTCACAAACCTGTTATTTTCAAGTTAACAGCTTCCTTTTACCTTTAGTTCAGTACGCATTGTCAATTCCAGGGCTGAAAATATACAAATGATTCTAGTGAAGGTGTATGGAAGGTGGAACAGACTGTTTAAGTGTCTGTTTGAGATAAGAAGTCAGCCACAATGTGCAGGGTTTGTGTTAAACATGTGTGAATGAAACAAAAGACAATGTCAGGTATGTTTTTGATGTGGAAACAAAAACATTGCTCAGAAAATAGCTTATATAGGCCCTTTAATTGGATCAGTTCAATTCATTTTCAGGAAATGCATTTGAGGTATAAAGGTTATTTGAAATGTTATTTGCTTAGGCTATCTGGTCAGGGAATAAAGTTGAGGTGTACATTATGAACATTATTACACGCAGACCAAAGTATAACGTGATGCAGTCTTGGAATAGTCCTCATTTGGCACTAGTTTATATCACATGTATTACTCCTTTATTCAGGTTTAGTCATACCAAACTCAGGTAGCTTGGCCGTTGAGTGTATTTTGACCAAAGGCGAGACACAAAAATGAATGCAACAAAATCATTTAAACCATCAATAACAACACCAGTGCAACATGATACAAAACCTTTGAATCTTCTCTGTCTGTTCCCCCACTCATGTACCCGCCCTCTCTCTATGCTGGCTTCACCCTGAACCCCCTACCTTGATAGATCACATGGCTGTTGTGATACCAGCTGGCTGACTGCTCATTTGCATGTGTTTCAGCTACATTGCCTTATTAGAGAAATGGGTGGCAGCGGCTGTGGTAAAGGTGGAGAGAGGCTAGGGTGAAGGAGAGAGCCACGGTGAGACTCTGTAGGCCTGATAAGACATTTGTAGATTTATGAGATTCAAATCAGTGCTTAAGTAATTAAGCTTTTGTTATTATGCCAAAAAATATATGTTAAAATGCAGTCTTTGTACTTCATCCAAAAATGTGCCTTGCCTTATCCTATGTGGTTATTTTATTTTATTTTATTTTTTTTACTTTTTTTTTTTTTTTTTTACTTTTTGTTCATGATGTTCTGTTCATTTGAATATATACACTCAGCTCTGAATATTTGATTATGGGCTGAGCTTAACATGTGAGGCTAAGTCAAAGTTAAAGGATTCAAAACGTAAAGTCATAGTTTATTCATAAAGAAAATGGTCATAACCACATTTCTGTACAAGGAACATGAAAGTGACCTAGCTCTCTACCGCTATCTAGTGGCACAATTAGAAAACTGCAGTTAAGTCCACATTCAGTGCGCATAATACAGGACACTGTGTAGCCTACTAATTCTAGTACAGTGCTGCATAAGATCCCGATGAATCCACTGTGATTATATGCCATAGGTCTATTTTGTTCTGTTGCACAGTGTTTCAAAAAGTAATAAAAAATATTCAGAAAACTACCGCATCTATCTAATTGGGGTCCAGGAAGTAAATATAATCATTAATTTGACCTGGTTTACTTAATTTACTTTGACAAGAGATGCATTTTTCTTCATCCTGAAATATATATATATATATATATATATATATATATATATATATATATATATATATATATATATATATATATATATATATATATATATATATATATATATATATATATATATGTATATGTCCAATTCCCTGTTGCAATTTATAAATGGAACAGAACTATTGCCGTAGATTAGTAGATTAGTTTAGATTGCCGAGACTAGTGCCGTAGATTTCCAAATCTCACCTGAAGGCATCTTTAACCGGCAATCGTCATTTTTCTGTGGCGCGCATGCGTGGTCCGATAAAAAGGAAGCAGACAAGCTCGACGGATTATGTGGACAGATCTGTGTGGAGGGGCAGCTGTTTTAACCAAATTGGGCAGATTTAGGTAGTACTGCCTGAATGGAAGTAGCTGTTGTATTGTAAACAGTAAAGTAGGTCCTAACAGTCGAGCCAAAATGATGTTAGAATGCGACCCGACAGAGACAGAAGGCGAGCCCGGGTTGGATAGCACTGGGACAGCGGCGGAGTGTAACTTTCCCCCTGAAGACACACAAACGGTGTTATTTGACAAGAACCGGATAGGGCTCGGGCTTGCGGTGAACCCCGGAGGCGCTGTTCGTATTTCGGACTCTCGGGAGAGTGTCTTAACGGAGTTGGAGACAGACGGTTCCGGGGAAGAGGCGCTGCTGTTACCGTGCTTAGCAGGAAGCTCTGCGTCTCCACGGCCAGTGCGGGAGAAGAGGGGCAGGCGGAACAGACACAGCTCATCTTCGGATAAGGACACCTTGGCCTCCCCAGGTAATGGCTTTGGGATACACGTGATTAAGACCGGTCCAAGTGTTTGACATGTCAGGCACGCAGCACGCTCACCAACCTCACAGGAAATTGCTGCTTAAGTAGATTTCTAATACGGATCATATATATATATATATATATATATATATATATATATATATATATATATATATATATATATATATATATATATATATATAACTGACCAGTGCATGTTAGAGGACAAATAATGCAGCACTTGCATCTTACTTTCCCATTTTTCCAGTTTTATACAATATACTTCCCCAGCTGATGAAATACACTTTAATAAAACTAAAACATTATTTTCATAACATGTATTTTTCTTTTTAAATCTCATAACAATAATCACATAAGTCAAATATATCTTAAGTGTAAATGCTGCAGCAGACTGGGAGGTTAAAGATCCATTCTAATGTGGCAGGAGTCAAGAGACAATGGTTGTCTGTCGTCAGTGAGTGAGTGCATGTCATACAAATTAGATAAAGTTAGGTGAATATGACTATATCCTAAAATGCCTGGCAGAATATATTGAGACTATGGGTCAAATGTTCAACAGTTCTGTTACAGAATATTTTAAATTCCAAACAATCTTCTTTCCTCTTTTAGTGTAAACTTGACTTGTTGTTTACCCATGTTGGAGTCTGTACTTTGTGTGCCTGCGTATTAACAGTGATATGAGATATCAGTGGTCATGTGTGTGATATGAGCTGGCACTTTTCAAACCTGTGATGTAACTTAAGTCTTGTCACAACTATATCTGTACATTCAAACTTCCCCATTCTAAGAGGATTTAGTTTATTTTTTACTGAAGTGGTGACACAACAATTGAACAAAAACAGTGTTTCTTTCTTTCCAGAAATAGTTTAAAAACAAATCACACTTGAACAACTAGGGACAAACTGAGGACCTAATCTCCTGGCAGTGACTGTTTTTTATAGCAAACGTCTTAGACTTAGAACTTTGTAACCATTTACCTGTAGTTCTATTTAAGTTTGGTTTACCCAGGAGAATCTCATTGAGATCCTTTACCGGATAGGCCCGTCCACAGTGCAGATGCAGTTGTACCTGTTTTAAGTGGTGAAAACAGAAGCACCTGGAGGAGATGAGCAAAATCATGGGAAAAAAGAAAAAGTCCTCACTGTAAGAAAACCCTGTACCCTCTTGTTTTGAGCCAGGAATCCCAAGTTACTTTTTCAGTAAAAAACTATTGTCTACATTACTGCATGCAAGATACTTAAATATAGAACAAAATGACCCTATATTTTTACATCAAATATCTTTGAAACTCCAGTGTACCATAGTGTGGTCATTGATTGTCTTGTTAAGAATAAGAATAACTGATAAACATTAAAATAAAATGTGAAATGCAAAGGTTGGACTGGGACATAGCAAGATGACAAGGTGATCCAGTAACCATAGCAGCAGCACATTCTGAGTCCTGTCAGCTAATTGGTTTTAACACTACACCCCCGCCTCCTACTCGACCTTGTTTCTCTGATAGATCAGTTTTAGATCATTGTTTTCTATTTGGGTTATTTGGGTCTTTCTTTGGCCCCTTTTACATGTGTGCTGGTTTTGTTTGACCAGTGTTATCATGCATGGAAATCTAAGCCAGAGGTACAAACTGAGACCCAAATCACTGGCGTCCCATTTCCTGTGGTCGCTTAAAATGACAATTGTTGCAGCTAGAGTTACCATGCTTTCAGTGAGTGCATTAGAGAGTTACTTGAGCAAGCCAGATTTTTATGACTTTACAGCTCTAAATAACGTTAGAACCTTTTAGGTATAACGTAATAACTTGGACTTAAACAAAACTTGTTGGTTTTACTTCCTGGATTGCAGAAAACCCACATAACAACATATTAATGAGACAGTAATATTTAGCTAAATCAAAAATTTCTGTAATAAAAGGTGTACTTTGTTCTCTCTCTCTCTCTTTCTGTCTCTCTCTCTCGAAATGTTATTTCTTTGCCTGGAATGTTCCACAGTGTAGCATTCTACTCCCTGTACTCCCTACAGATCTGACCTGTAACTTGGCCTGGTCATGTTACCAACTTTCTCTATGGAGCTATACAGAAGTTTAATGTCAGATGAGGGAAAATCTGGCCAAAGCGATAAAATCTCCATGGAGACAGATAGTAATAGCTCCACCAAAAAAAGATCCATAGTAGTGCACCTTTTAAATGTTGCTATTTATTTTTTACAAATTCTCTAATGAAATATGAAAAATATTAGTCAGAAAATGTTGCTGTTGCTAAAAGCATATGACCATATTTTTGCACCATATCAAATCCACTTAGCATACACATACCTGTAATTACATACTTATGCTCTCACACTAAATGTGTATGAATTGATTGGCCACAGATATGAGGAAACTGAGGATGGAAGTTTCCAGAGGGAGGAGTGGTCTGTGCTGTCGGCCTGTGGCTCTGACTCCTGCTGGGAAGAGCTCATAGACCCATTAGCTGGCCCACAGCACAAAGAGTGACATTAAAAATGCACAAGTCCATTCTATGTGCAGAAGCATTTAGTAAAATACAATGTATATCTAGTAAGTCTGGTCTTTGTTTTTTGTTATTGTTGGTTTAAGAATCTCAAAAACGCACTGTACGCACCCATGAATTTCCTATATTATTTCATTATAGAAGATGCTTTATGTTGCCAAAACACTTCACCTTCTGATTCAGTGAGAATCTTGTCTGATAATTGTGGCACAGTCACATGATCTTGCACATGGCACCTACCTCCAACTTCTTAGTGATGAGGTTGAGGGTACAATTTTTATGCCTGATTACGCATAACTTGAGTCTTGATGTTCTTCATGTGTAGCATCTTGTCCCTAGTGTTAATTTGAACAAGAAATTTTTATTATTTTGTCTTTGTCTTTAAAAATGTAGCTTTTAGTCCAGATGAACACTACATGTCCCATTGCTGAAAACATGTTCTATTTCTTGCAGTTCTTTCTTTTATGCCTTTAATTGCCTCAACTTCAAAAGATGCAAAGTTCCTCTGCCAAAAGCTTGCTGTTAAACTGCCCATCAGAAGTCAGATATGAAAGCTCTTGAAGGTGTCAAAGAGAGTGTGAGTGTGGTTCCTCAGCGTGAGGCTGTGAGCCAACAGGCCACAGGAGGCTACTTATATCTGCTCCACTAGTGTTGGAGAAATGTTTTTGTCAACATCAAGGGCGAAATGCCTGAGGTGCATCCAGTTCCTCATCCATAACATTTGATTGATGGATCAAAGACATTTTTGTGGTCCACTTTAAGAAATTAACTGTACTATACCCTTTTATTTCTCAATGTGCATGAAAATTTGGACTATGTTGTTGTCATAGCAATCTTAAATGCAAGTAAATTCAGTGCCATAAAGTAAATGTCTACTGCATCAACTATTCAGTTTTGTATTGCAGTTAAAACCCTAATTTTGTTAGTATTTATCCAATCCTGACATTGTTTACTCAATTTATTCTGACATTTCATATATAAAAATGGTTTTTCGAAGATTGGCTTTATTTCAAATTTTAAACAAATATGCAGTGTCAGAACTGTGTCAAATTAACAGTAAATTGTAACTGCACATTTCACAGACTGTTCCCCCATTTAATACACTTGATTAATTGATTTTGTAGGTATTAATTAATTATTTATTTATTATTTTATGCTTTTCCCAGGCTCTTTGGGATTATCTCTTTATCTTTCCCATATCTCGCTTGTCTTTGTGACAAATGGTGCATCATCTCCCTTTTCTTTTGTTTCTTTGGTGTCCTCCCCACTCCCCTCCTGAGTCTGTCCTTTCTTTTTCCTCACATCCCACTGTGACTGATACAGAGCATATGGAGTCGCTTCCCTGTCCCTCCATGTGACAGCAGGATGCACCGTCAGCTCATGTGATTGGGCAATGGGCATTAACTGAATGAATTAGAATTAGCTCAAACCCATCAGGGAACTGTCATGTTTATTGAATTATGTGCTATATAATTGTATGATTTGTCTCCAATGGCAATTTGTTCCATTTGGATGTGCTTTGAGGTGTAACATCAACTTAATTGATTATTTCTTTGATAAACCAAGTTATAAATCTTAAAATATAACACATAATTATTGTTAATGTTTTATATTAACAGTAATATAACCTTAAAAATCTTGCGCTTAGATTTGCCATGTATGGAACTGCTACTTCCACAAACCCCTATAGCGTCTTAGGTCTTCATCTAGCACTATTATCTCAAAGGTATCATAATTATATAGTGTCAACACAGTCTTTTACACTTTTTATTTTCACTTCTTTGCCACAGACTGTACTCCCCAACAACCCGCTTGCTCAATAATGAATAAATGTCCAAACTTGCACAAGACTAGAAAGTTTACATGATTGTTTCTCTAATGTAGTTGATTCACTTTTCCCTCTAGGTACCCACCATGGCGATGTCAACCATTTTCCAGATGATCCGGAGTTTGCGGATATCATCCAACGGGCAGAACAAGCTATTGAGAATGGTGTTAATCCAGAGAGAATTTCCCAAGGTTCAAGTGGGAGTTATTTTGTCAAGGATCCTAAAGGGGTACGTTACAAAATTACAAAAAAAAACCATAACATCCATCTTAAATTATTTTTGAATTTGTATTTTGTGATTCTTAGACTGTTGGTAATTATTATCTTTTAATGCAGAAAATTATTGGTGTTTTTAAACCAAAGTCAGAGGAGCCCTATGGTCACCTAAACCCCAAATGGACCAAATACTTTCACAAGGTAAGTTTTCTTCTGTCTTTCCCTAGTATTTGCTTATGAACAGTTACTAAAACTCAAAAATGCTTTATCTTTCAGTTGTGTTGTCCGTGCTGTTTTGGTCGAGGCTGCTTGTTGCCAAATCAAGGTTACCTGTCAGAAGCCGCTGCCTCATTGGTTGATTCTAAGCTTGGCCTTGGTGTAGTGCCCAAAACAAAGGTACAAAAATATTAAAGGAATTTGCATGTTTTAGAGTTTTTATTTTTTTATTTACTTGATACTCTTGTTATTCAGGTCGTGTATCTGGCCAGTGAGACCTTCCACTACAGTGCAATAGACCGAGCCAAATCCAGAGGAAAGAAGTATGCTTTAGAGAAGGTCCCTAAAGTTGGACGTCGCTTCCATAGAGTGGGCCTGCCTCCTAAGGTAAAACTGTCTTTTAAGAAGTAAATTTGCAAAGTTTGCAGTTATTTCCATAGAACATTCTCTGAAGGCCTGTTTAATAATAATGTTGGGGGTCAATATTTAGCATGGGTATTATTTGTTTGTACTAGTGGGAACATTTTTGTTATATTTCGGTTCTGATATTATTTGAAATGTAAAGGGTTGAATTATGAATTTCTATGAATCATTATAGAATAACCTAACTACTATATCATTTATTTATTGCAGTTGTATTTATTTTTTTTTTCAGTATTGTACATTTTGAAATCATGTACTTCAGCAGTATATTGCACATCTTCAACATTTGTTATCTTGACAGGCCTATTTTTCTGCAAAGAACAAAATATCCTGTCTTCTTTCTGAAAAATCTTGATGCACCTGTGGTTTAGACCTTTTACAGACATGTTCTGAAATTCTTGCCTTGTTCATATTTTGGTCGTCTTTCAAATGTTAATAATTCTGGAGTAGTTTACAATGTGCAGCCCTAGTCTACTTTCAATAAAACAAGCAGACATAGAAAACTGATCATATACAATAGCCTTTTGCAATTATTTATCTTGCTTTTTGTTGTGCAAATTTGTTGCCCTGTTACCAAAGAGACAGCTCAGATAGATTTTGTAAGAGAAGAAATGACTGCACACAGTTATTTGCTTTCTGGTTTCTATGATAAAATTTGATGTGAAAGATACTACTTGTACTCACTGTCTCATTCTCTGTGTAGATAATGCTACAAATAACCACTTGAGGAAGTAGGTTAAGGAAACAGATTTTTGGCATGCATGGGTTGTTGACATGTTTTGCATGACATGTTATGCATATCAACAAACCATGAGCTACTGTGTTCAAATAATTTCCCTTGTGGTTTGGCTTTTTCAGGTGGGCTCATTTCAGCTGTTTGTGGAAGGGTACCGTGAAGCGGATTACTGGCTGCGGCGCTTTGAGGCCGAGCCGCTGCCGGAGAACATCAGGAAGCAGCTACAGTCTCAGTTTGAGCGCTTGGTCGTGTTGGATTATGTCATAAGAAACACAGGTAACTGAAGGGGTGCATATGTTGACAATAAGCTCAGTGTTTAAGACCTAACATGATATTTGGCAAGCTGGGAATATCACTGATGCAAAAACATGATAGTAAAGAATATGAGTACAGTATATATTTACCAGAATAATGTTTAGGCCTCAGTTAGGAGTGGTAGATAGTGACAAATGAATAGCTGAGCGATTCAGTTCAGACATTTGCTAAAACCGCTTAGTACCACAGCAGTGCAGAAATATTATTTTCTACCCTTAACATGACAAATTGATTTAAGTATTATTATTATTTTTTTTTTATCACTTATTTTGCAGCCTTTATCTAGCTTTTTTATATTATAGATGATTTACTCAATTCTCAATTTTTCATATGACCAAAACAACAATTGCAGTTTTCTATATATTTTTAGATATATTCTCCACCTCTATTCTCAATTTAAATTTATTACAAACAAAAAGATGGCAGATGAACAGATTTCAACTTTAGATTGTTTAGCAAGGGACAATTTAAGTATTTCCAATGAGAATACTGGTGCTTGTTCTAATTGAAAGCTCTAAGAATACACCTCTTACGTAATCAGGTAGTTCTAAATTTGAGGTTAAATAAATCCTTCAATAAAGCATACTTCCTCTGAACACACCTTTGTTTGTTTTCCAGATCGAGGAAATGACAACTGGTTGATCAAGTACGAGAAGCCAGGTGATGGTGAAGAAGAAAAGGTATTCGACTCACCTGTGACCCAGTTGTTTCAAGTTAAAACAGAAAGTTACTCCAATGCAGTCCTGGGAAGTAACTGAATGCATGCACCGAGAATACCTATTCTGAATACTACTTTTGAGTACCAGTAACTAGAGCCCGGCCGATATATCGGCTGGCCGATATGCTTGCTGATATGGGCCGATATTTCACATGGGCATGTTATACCTCGTTATAAAGCTTAGACTCTCTACATTATGTTCATTTAATCCAATTTACAGACAGGTAAATGTCTTAATATGTGGCTCTGCATCAGTATTTATCTGCGGTGTAATTTGTCTGTGTGTGTGTCCGTACTGTCCCTGAACACACCACCAGAGTCACGTCACTTCACTCACGTGCTATTGTTTACACCCGCAGCGGTGCGCAACACTGAGATTATATTCTTTTTACAGACAATCGGTTTGAGTCTGGATTAAAAGGACATTTATTAGTGCAGACTTGTGATGTGAGGAGGAGTCGTGTTTTCTCTTTTTCTCACTTTTTCTCTTCAAGCCGCATGTAGACCCGTAGTTTGACAGCAGCAGCGGCTGAAAACGAAACTTTCAGAAATATGCCTGTGCATAGGATAAAAAAAAGTGCATATTTGGCTGCAGTTCAGCATAAAATGAATAAACCAGGAGTAATCTTGGGCTCGAGTGAGGGAGAGAGATAGAAACCGAGCCCCGACACTCAGTCCTGGTTCAGTTCTGGTTTAGTCCTGCTTGCAACAAAACAATCTCAAGAGTCTCTTGGGAGCCGAAAGAACCAGCTGCTTTAGTGAGCTGAGCCAAAAGAGACGGTTCTCAAAAAAAAAACTGGAATACCCATCACTAGTAGCTAGAATGTGATGCAAAAATGCCATTTGGCCAATCTACTGTATGTAAATATGATGTAAAGAGTCAGAATAACAATAAATGTTGCCTAAATAAACCCAATTTAGAATCCACTAGAGCGAAACTTACGTTTTTTAAACAATTCAAGATTTACAGTGAATTTTTACATCACTAAATATATCGACGATTATATCGGCTATCGGCAGCGCCAACTCCCATTATATCGGTTTCATATCGGCCACAACAAAATCCATATCTGTCGGGCTCTACCAGTAACTACTTCTTCTTCTTTACTTTTTCATTAGGTGAAATTCACAATACAGTTACTTTTTACAAAGGAATACATGGCGGTACTTTTATTAGTGAGAAAAATATAAAACACTGCTCTTGTGATTCATGCAAGTGGGATTTTTTTCCCCTTGTCTGAGCAGTATAATGCATAACAAAATGATAAAACAAATATAAACTGTTTTAATCCTATATTGCATGTTTACACTGTAATTTAAATGCAAACCTGCATAAAAGTATTCAAAATATTCAGAATACAGTACTCTGATTGGACCATATAGTGGAATACTTATGCTGGGATAAATTTGTAAATTTTTCCCGATATCATAGAGTTACATTTTTTACAGTACCAAGCTCAACACATGCCTAAAAACCATGTAGCGTCTCTTTCATTAGAGAGGCCCACATAGGCGAACAATAGGTTGTGTGTAACTAGAATAAACCAGTGGCCTTGTGACCTGCCTAATCGTTCCTTTGGGGTCTGTGACTGTCACCCATTCGTCACAAATGTCTTGTTGTCTTGTATTTGTCCAATTAATCATCCTTCAATGCGTGGATCAATAACTGCTTTGGTCATAAGTTATAGATTTCCATTGAGCTGATGTATATTCTCTGATTGTTATAGGGTGCAGAGTGGCCTGAGAGCAGCACAGACTCCTGCATCAAAATTGCAGCGATCGACAATGGACTGGCCTTTCCCTTTAAGCATCCGGATGAGTGGAGAGCTTGTATGCTTCTTTCACTATATTGTCATAAAAAATGCCACTGCTGTTTTAATGAAATGTGGCTTTGTTCTTTGTGTTTTAGACCCTTTCCACTGGGCTTGGCTCCCTCAGGCTAAAGTGGCCTTCTCCCAAGAAACCAGAGACTTGGTTCTGTCACGTCTCTCAGATATGAACTTCGTACAAGACCTCTGTGAAGACCTCTATGAGATGTTCAAGGTAGAGGCCAATGATCCTTTACCAGTAAACACAAACTACAATACCATTCCTATTCTACTGACAGATGGAAAATGAGTCATACAGATTTTCTTTTCATTGTAGCATTTTGCCCTCAAAGTTGCTGGAGAACTTGCAGCTGTATATGTGTGAAATATTGGCTAGACAATTGCATAAAATAGTGGACAATTTTCTTTACTTTGTTAGTCACTTTGTAGTATAGGAGGCTGCAAGTCAGGCTTAATAAATCATGTCACCAACAGTGTTACAATACTAGTACATCCAAAAAAAACTTAAGGAAAAGACTGGGCACCAATTTTGCTATGTCCCTGATAAAAAAAAAAAAAAACACTGCTTTTTTAAATACTAGAATTTTTTTTTTTTTTGATGCTAGCTTTAGTATTGATCAGTAATTGGATTTATTTTATTATGGGTTATTTTTTACAACTCAACACCAATAACTGTCAAGTTGATTGATCTAACTATATTTTTCTCTTCAGACTGATAAAGGTTTTGACAAGACCATGTTTGAGAGACAAATGTCTGTGATGAGAGGGCAGGTGAGTTTTTTTTTTTTTTAATTTATGACTCTTATTTTTAGATCTCTTTGTGCTTTAATAGTAACTCCTCCTATTTCTATAGGTGTTAAACCTTACCCAAGCCCTGAAGGACGGAAAGAGCCCGATCCAGCTTGTGCAGATGCCACGTGTGGTTGTAGAGCGCAGTCGGTCCGGAGGTCAGGGTCGTGTGGTGACTCTGGGCAATGCCTTCACACAGACATTTCACTGCAAACGCCCGTTCTTCTCCTCCTGGTAGACTGTGTGGGATGCAACCTACATTTGATAACGCTGAATACTGTGAAAGACTGAATGTATGTGAAACTAGGCTTAGCTCACTCCTATTTTGGTAAAGCAGGAGCAATACCCGTGTCTCCAAAAGACGGTGAGGATGTTTGGGTTGCCATGGCGACTTAAAAGTATAATCAGCTTTTCTACTGAAGAGGGATTTGTTTATTGTGAGGCCGAACTTTTTTTTTTTACCCACTTCAAGTTCCTGCTAAAATCTTCCAAGGTTTCCAAGTGGGACTAATGGCCAAAGAACAAAGCACTTTCCGGATAATGTTTTTTCGGATTACCATGGAGACAGAATTGCTACAGGATAGGAGTAAATCATGACATGCTTTGCCTTGTGCGATTACTTATTGAAGCAGGCATAAGTAGATGATGTGTCTTTTATCCACTGGAATGAGCATACCAGCTTTTTCCCAGTGTTAAATTTCAAGTTACACAAGTACTACGATTACAACACAGTGTCTTTTAGTCTCACTACTGCCAAATATGATGTGGTTGGAAGGGATGTTCCAAGCCTCAAGAATAGGAAAACATAGAAACTTAAAACTTGACTATTGGAGAAGACGAGGAATGCGTATTGCTTGAATGTAAGCTGTTTACGGTTTCTATACACTTTTACTCTGAAACATTTCAATATAAAGAATCAAGAAGATCTCGACTCTTAATGAATGTATTTGTCGTTGTATTTAATTGCTGGTAAGTTTTGTTTCTTTTGCTCCTTGCAGCATGGGGCTGGCACCTGGCCTTTCTCCTTTACAGTAAGTTATATAAAGATGAAATGTTAAATTTTAAAAAGCATTTCTCACTTGCTCAAAGTTGTTGTGCTTTATGTCTGCATCTTTTTATGAAACTCAATGATTGTATAAATAAGTTGTATATTTAAAAAATAAACTGCTTTCTGTTGGCATTTAACTAAATAGCCTACTTTGTCTACTAATGTCTGACTAAGTTGTGTTAAAACCAGCTTTTACAGACAGAGCTCTGACAGGACCATTAAACTCAATGGTTACCCTCCAGCACAACTGAGCTATTAATAGACTAACCTTTATGTCCTGAAATGGAACATTTCTTAAGACTTTTGAAAATTACTTTTTGTCTAGGCCTACAGTTTGATTTTGTCAAATCTCATATTTTCAGCACTTTTTGTGCTATGCTGCACCCTTTACACAAGACAACTTACTCTTTAAGTACAACAAAAGCAATAACCTTCATTGTCCAGTAGATGTCGTTATGGCGCATATTGTTACAGTAAACCTGCCTGCAGACGGTCTGTATGTCCAGTCACTGTTTAAATATTGAGACAGGGATGATGTGCGCTTCCCAGCACACACTCAGGTACTTCATACCTTATAGTCTCTCCAGTCCATATAGACATGAGCCCTTCTCAAAATTAGGTTGTTAAAAGTGGTATGAGTTACTGATTCTGCTATTTTTTGCGACGATGCAGTTACTTTCACTGGCAGTCCTTTTTCTTTTCATCAACGACCTAAGCGGAGCTGATAAATGCGCGTCCCCGTGTGATGTGAGCTCGTGTCCGAGTCCCAGCTGTCCGGGCGACTATGTCCCTGACCGGTGTAACTGCTGCCTTGTGTGCTCCCCGGGAGAGGGGGACCCCTGCGGCCGGAAAAATGACCTGCCCTGCGGCGCCGGGCTGGAGTGCCGGCTGCTGAGCGCGGGGAGACGGCGGGGCTCCAGAGGGACCTGCAGATGTCGGAGCCAGCATCAAGTGTGCGCAAGTGACGGGAAAACTTACCCCAATGTGTGCAAGATGAAAGCGGCCAACCGTAAAGCCCAACACAGAGGCAGACCGGAAGTCAAACTGAAACGCAAAGGAGCCTGTACCAACCTGAGTACAGGTGCGAAAACGACAGGTAGGCTTTTTTTTTTTTCTACATATATGTTACATGTAGCCTTCATAAATCAGACACATGTATGCAATGAAATCCATGCATCATTAGCTAGGCTTACCATTCTTGGCAGACTATGCAAGTTTTCAACATTTTGCAACCCTAAATTATAATTTATGTGGGGACTTACATGATTATATGTGTGTGTCTGTTTTTGGTCCCAAACCAACAGAACATCCCAGCAGTGCTCGTTTCAAGTTCAATTTTATTGCTGATGTGGTGGAGCAGATAGCCCCTGCAGTGGTTCACATTGAACTTTTTGTTAGGTTTGTAGAGTTCATCAATTTTTTTCCCAGTTTTTTGTCAATCTTTTTTGAATACTTTACAGTCTCATTGTCTTTCTGTCCAGACACCCTTTATTTGGGCGCCACGTGCGCCTCTCCAGTGGCTCTGGGTTCATTGTGACTCATGCAGGTGTGATTGTCACTAATGCTCATGTTGTAACCACATCCACATCTTCAGTAACCAGCAGACCACAACTGCGCGTTCAACTTCACGATGGAGACACTTATGAAGCTGTGCTCAGAGATGTGGACAAGAAGACAGACATCGCCACAATCAAGATTACTCCCCAAGTAAGAGAAACACAAGTCAAGAATTTTCTGATAGACTTTCATACCGGAAAGTATAAACATCTTCCTTGTGAGTCAGAGGCCTCGCTCTAGTGTGTTTTCTCACACACTTATCTCAAATAGCTGGACAGCATAGTCAGGGTATTCTTCTATCCTCACCACATGAGTGGTTTATACAACAACTGTTACTGCCAGGAGTTGTATTTTTACATAACAAATCCCTGTTCATGTCTTTATTTGATGTTTTGTATTTCTTTATGTCCCTGTAGTGTGGGATCACAAGTTAAATAAACTGTAGGCCTAATTTTTCTATTTTGTTTTTGTTTTCTATCACAACTACATCTGCCATTGATGGCTACATAACCTGAGCTATCCATAGTACTGTTGTTAACTAGCAGGGACGGACTGGAACCAAAAAAATCAGAGGCCACCACAGCAGCCCAAATGTGGTCTGAGGTGGATAGGCCCACCAGGAATTTTCCCGAGCCTGTTACCTAGTAGTAATATCCTCTTGCAATTATGTTAATTGTTTATTTTTGTTTTATGAATTGTTCTTGTTATTCTGTGTCTGTGCTTTTAAGCAGAAGAAGCTCCCTGTCCTCTCTTTGGGCCCTTCCTCAGACCTTAGACCAGGAGAGTTTGTTGTTGCCATCGGCAGCCCCTTTGCTCTCCAAAACACTGTGACGACAGGCATCATCAGCACTGCCCAAAGAGACGGGAAGGAGCTGGGCATCAAGGATTCAGACATGGACTACATCCAGACAGATGCCATTATCAATGTAACATTCCTAACCTACGTATATACAGTAGCTGAGTACTGTGTGTCCCTGTCTTTATGAAATGTGTTTTCCTTCTTTTAGTATGGAAATTCAGGAGGGCCCCTTGTGAATTTGGTGAGTCTAAACTATGACTTAACAGGTATGCACAACAACTCTTATTTTTACATTGTCCTACCAGGCATCCAAGACTTGTCGTATAATTTCTATCTGTGGCCATGCATACTGTCATTCTATCCTTTGGCAAGACACCAATATATGACATTGGTGTGTGAATAATACAGAAGTAGCTTACAGAGATTCAAGAAAGAAATTTATTTGCCATTTGTGCACAGACAAATGTCCATACACATTGGAATTCTTATGAAGGGCTCGTGGGCATTCAACTAAAAACAGGTAAGAGTGCATTTGAGAGAAAAAGACCAACACATACGTTCAACAAAAGAAATCACATAAATACATAATTTGAGTAGACTTGTTATTTAAAAGCAGCAGTGAGGCAGAACACTGTTAATAATAAATACTGTATATTGCACACAATACCATATACTGGAGACTGTATGAATAATGCATTTTTGTTACAGCTATTAAAACATCTTTTATCAGTCATAACTTTACTGTGTGTCAACAGGATGGAGAGGTAATAGGCATCAACACATTGAAAGTCACTGCTGGGATCTCCTTTGCCATACCTTCAGATCGGATCAGCCGTTTCCTCACCGAGTCTCAAATCAAACACAAAAAGAGTCGAGTGTCAAAGGTTATCAGGAAAAAAGGTGACCATGATGTTTTTATGTTATATATTTTGTTAGTGTTCCAAACTTTAACTAACCAATATTCTTACAGAAAAGACAAGACAGCAAAGATTTACCAGCGAACCACAGTCTGATGAAGGTGAGACTCTAGGTGAAGTTTTTATCCTCTGTTCATAATGGCATTACATCACTAACCATTGTCATGTTCTAATAGACACCTTACATGTAAAAAGACGATTTCTAGGCATCAGGATGCTCACAATTACAGATGAGTATGTTTAAGAAAAAACACTTAATCTATTTTATGGTTAATGTTTTTGCTTTTTTCTTCTACTTTTGATCATTTCTCCTTTCCACATTTTTTATTTATTTATTTGTATTTTTTTTTATATAGTCTAGTTGCTGAGTTACAACATCTGAACCCTTATTTTCCTCTGGTCAGTCATGGAGTTCTAGTGCAGCAAGTGCTTTCCGACAGTCCAGCTGAGAGGTATGTTGAGTTATCTGCTATTAACACATTTCTGATTCTTATTATATGCAGTTTTTCCCATTCAAAATATATATTTTGGTCACCGTTAATAATTAGGCCTGTCACAATAAAAAATTTTCAAAGCATCGTATTACAACAGCAATTTTTGCAAAGAACCATGACAAATATTGAACTCCATGTATTGTTTTTATATATTTCAACTTTCATATACTGAACGATAAGTCAATATTGTAATTATCTGTAATTATTCTGAAACCCATATATAAGCCCTGTTAACACGTCATCAGACCTCCATGTAAAGCAGTATTCTTACATATTAATTATTATATTATTATCTTTATTTTATCTTTATTTCAGTGGAGGACTGAAGGACGGGGATATAATCGTCAAATTAAATGGACAACCAGTCTGGAGCATTGAGGACATCTGGCAGGCTTTACAAGGTCGTCATCCACTCTTGTTTGAGATTCTGCGAGCCCATGAGACGTTTCTCTTCCACATTGACTCACAAGAGTGAATCAGAAGAAACTTTTCACTTCAAGAACACCCTTTGAAAATAGTGTATCATTTTAAGAAGTAAGCCTGAATCAGGATTGGGTTCAGACACAAATTAGTGAATAATGGATAATACAATTACAACCTTACAAGGATTTGACCAGTTTCCACTTTAAAAGAGCTACATCTGACCAAAGGATCATCAAGCACACATTTAGCACATAAAGCATCTTAGATAAAATGTCAAACATGATGTACATTTCCATTTTGCTCTAAATGATTTGCATTGCAGGGCTACAATCGTATACTGTTATTTAAATGATGTAAATAAGTCTGCATTTCATCTAATCTCATGAAACGTTATAATTGCAATAACAATAAATGTACTTTTTTTTTTATCAAGCACCATTATATAAAACAAGTTTACATTTAAGTTTATGATAATTATAATTACAGATAATTAATAATAAAGTGTTTGATAATTCCCTTGTCCATAAATGGAGTCTCGAGTGAGAGCATGTGAGCAGCAGATGCAGCACAGACAGAAGACCTCAGTTATGTGTTTATGTCCTGTCCATAGTTCCTCCCTGCTGTGACAGATGTGCTGCTAATTCAAACAAACCTCCCACTAAACGACAGGGCTCCTACTGGAAAATTATTTCTTTCTATTCCTGTTATCCACTCTGAAAGACCCCCTACATTTAAATAAAGGATCTTGCACTACAGAAATCCTTTTTTTTTTTTTTTTTTTACTTAATTTATTTTTTTAAGAAGAATAATTTGATTGGCGTACAGCCTTCACAGTTACTACCCCACACATACAGACAGAAAGTGTACCAAAATATACAAAAGTAAGAACTGAACGAAAGTGTTAGTAGGAAACTACCTCTACTACTTATGATTACTATGACCGTCACACAGGTATTTTAATCAATATACATTAGAAGTTCAGAATATTGTAACAATATGTTCATTTGAATGTTTTTTTTCTGCTAGCAGTGCTACTATTACTATAAATGTAAACAAATAATACAACTTGAATATGTACTGAAGTGGATTTACAACCTATGTTGGCCTATTCCAGACCTGGGCATTGCAGCTCCTGGGCCACGTACGGCCCTTTGGTTGACTCTGACCGGCCCGTTTAAGCTGATTTGGAATTACAAAATAAACATATTTTATAATTTTACCTCATGCATGGACTAAAGCTGCATTGCTTTTATTTTAGAGTTGTTTTTTGGGTTTTTTTTTAAATGACATTTTTTGTTTCATTGCTAAGTCATAACATGTACTCTTACCAGCTTCTCAGAACAATACTATTTCATGCTTTTTATACTGAAATACAATTAATATTATGCAGAATTGAGTTAGGCATTTTGACCCAGCCTTCCACAATATTTTCTCTTTCTCATGTGGTCCCATGGAAAAAAAAAAAAAAAAAAAGACCACCCCAGGCCTATTCAAACTGGATGAAGTTACAGATGGAAGAGAAACCAAACAAAGAGTATTGCATCAGCTCAAGAAAGTTACTCATGTTTTCAATCAAAGTATTTACTGGCTGCAGATTCATTGTTTGAGCCTGTGGGTGGAGGCTGGTTCCTGTTCGCTAGGTCTGTGACCCAGATATGTGTGTGTCTGGCGGTGTCTGGCCAAGACATGTGTCATACTGTACACAGACGGTTTGAGTGGGGAGGCCAAAATCAGCTGTTTGCCCTTAGAAAATAAAATAAATACTTAACTTACCTTACTACTGCTTCTACTACCACTGCTAATTCTATATTACTGTGACCTATACATTATAAACACAGCTGAGTTTGTATGGTATTTTTTCTGTGTTTGATTGGATCTTAAATATTGACAAGTTATATTTTCTACTTATTGAAAGGTGCTTATATACATTTTCAGAGTATGTACCGCAAGTAGTTATTTGGCCTTTTTTACGATATAGCTGAATTTCACTCACTAGAAATGGTTCATGTCTGATCCTCTTCACATAGCGCCAGGTCATGTACATCTACAGTTTGACCAGTAGATGGCGTATGCTGCATAAGCATTATCTGACGTGGCAACAGCACAGCACATGAGAAAAACTGAACTCCATGTGACTGTGAATGCATAAATATTGAATACCAATAGTTGGAGCATCGGTAGATGGAAAATATGTGGATAGGAAATGTCAGAATAAAGTAAATTGTGTTGTGTTGGTAAATGAATCAAGGAGAATGAAGGGCATGTGAGACTAAAGAGAAACTAAATTATATAAACATTTTTCCAACAAATCAGGGCATTATTATGTTATGTTACTCTGTAATCCCATAAAATTTGATATTCAGTGTAAAATCAAATTATGGAGTTATTGAAATTGGTGTATTATCATAGGCTGGTGGTTTCTGTACATGACAAGAGCTAAACACACTTCATGCACACTTATGTGGCCTAATGTCAAACTATGAGACATGGCTGACCTCACCCCCCACTGACATCCACTTTCATCAGTGCCTTATGATAGATTCTAAACAACTACTACCCAGCAAACAGACTGCAGGTACAGTATAAAATTATTTGAATAAGTATAAATGTTCACAATAAACATTTACTTCACATCAAAGAACCATCACCTTGTCTCCAAGGAGAAGTTATTGCATTGCCTGGAATGTTCCATAGTACGGCGTTAAACATTTTCTTGCAATTTTTCAATTACAGGTGTTTTATTTGCTTAAAATATTCTTGCCATGAGCTTGTATTCATGGGAATAATTTAATTGAATTTAATGCCATAATGTGAAACATGTCAGACAACTAGTCTGCAGTTACCTTTACTCTGAATCTTTTTCTATGATTCCTTTGTATTCTGTGGCTTCAGTAATGTAATTCTACACCATTCTTTTGCAGTTTTGTATTAAGTAGCTAGATTTGGTAAGAGCTTGCAAAATGAGAACATTTGTAACCAATTCAAACAATAAAGCATTTAGAAAGTATACACAGAACCAGACACCCACGCCCTTTGCTTCCATGGACAGACAGTAGCAGTTATTATATTGTTTACTTTACAAATCTATAGTTCATAATGATACTGGGTTGAAACTCAGAAGTCACTGGTCATGGCGCATGGCCTATAGCAGCACAGATTGGACGTATTAGAGAAGTGTGGAGTTACAGTAGTTGGGGCTAACTCTTTCCATCTGTCAGACTCCTACTGCATGAGTCAGAGCTGACCAGGGCACTGTGGCCTCCCAGTGCTCTCCAAAACGTAAACTTTCAGAATATTGTGGTGCAAGTTAATGATAGGCTTTAGCCAATAAAAGTCTTGCATCATACAACTGGTTTTAATTTAAGTTTAATAACTAGTAATCTAAAAATAAGGCTGCAACTAATGAATGTTGTCCCCTTGTCAGTAAATGTTTCTAAGTGGCTTGAAAACTTTTTAACAATAAAAATTAACCAATGAAGGCTAAGATATGCTTAATTGAGTCATATTTAATGAGTATATTTACTTAAATAAAAGAAAAAATTACTCTCAAAGACAAATTCTTTATTCTCTCCACACTTAGTGATGCGTTACTATTGTAGCCAACTGACCTGGGGCAGACTGATGCAAGATCTCCCATCCAAGTACTAACCAGGCCTGGCCTTGTTACATTTTTGAGATCTGAAGAGATCAGGCTTTGACAAGCCAGTATGGCCAGGTTACTATTAACAATTAACAAATTGTCAACTAATATTTTAGTTGTCGACAAGTCATTTTATTATGAAAATTAATAGTTGTAGCCCTATAAGAAATCATAACTAAAACAAAAGCTGTTTACTTTTTTGTGTACTGTTTTGTAACATAGTATGGCGAAGTCATAAAATCATCACAGTTCCTTAATGTTTTTCTTTTGTTTGTTTTTTTGTTTGTTTTTTGTTTTTTTTTAATAAAACGTTTTAAGCCAGCAAATGTTGACATTCTCTCTTTTTAAAAATTCTCTCTTTTTAAAAAAATTAAAGGTGCTTAAATTGCTGGCACTCTGTTCTTGTGCCATGATGAGGGAGTTTGCCAGTGTCCTTCTGTAGGACAGGTGTGAATGACTTTCGCTGCTGTTTCAGTGCTCCCCAGTTATTACTTACACCCTGTCTTCTCTCTTTCACACTCTTCGTCTGCACTCTTTTATTCTGCAGCCTGAGATGAGTCTCCTGTGACGACCTCAGAGCCTCCACATTTTTTAGAAAGTGAAAATGAACTGACTAAAGTGTAAAGGACACTTTGGCCTTTTTCATTATGTTGCTCTAACTTAGTCTAAGCAATACGCTGATGTATAATTCTTACAAAATGTATAAAAGTGTGTTATCTCTTCTATCCATTAGCCAGTTATCCTATAGCTTTTTGTGTATTTCAGTGCAAAACTTAGACTTTTTATCATTCAAAATATATAGTTCTGGAACAGTCCTAACAAATACTGCCTATAACATGTAGTTGATACTGAGTTAGTCACTAAATTGACACTGAAGAAATTATCTAAACAATTCACTGTAGGTGATATACTAGTAGTTTCCAACACATGCATGTTGCTGGTTTCATAAGAACTGGACCCACAACCTCCAGAATACTAACCATACACACTCACAGTTATAGTGTAAACTTTGAAACCACATTAATAGGGGCATCAGTCCCAAGTATAACAGAGATTAGATTTACATTAGATTAGGCATATTTCTACCAATTTACAGATTTTGTTCATACCTAAAGGTGCACTGTGTAACTTTTCTTGTGGAGGGACTGCCAAACTGCTGTCTCAATGGAGTTGTTACTGCTTTGTCTGGAATGTTCCACAGTAATGCATCAAATTCATATATGTCTATGAAGATAAGAAGAAAGAAGATACAGGTGAAATCTGTGGAGCCATCTCAGAAAGCCTGTTTTTCATGGTAATTTAAGCAATAAAAGCACCTGTAATTAAATAAATGCAAAATAGCCAAGCCGAATACAGTACTGTGGAACATTCCAGGCTAAGCAATCACATCCCCATGGAAACAAGCAGTGCACCTTTAATTCCTATTTTTTTATTTTAAATTCTCCTCACAAACACTCCACTAGCTGCTGTACAAATGATCCAAGGCAGCTCTTGGTAAAAGCGGCTGCTCTATAAAATGTTTGGGCTGCACATTGCCTTCTAAAATGTTTAGTTGGCTTTGAGATTTGCTCTGTTTCTTCCTCATGCTCTGAGTAAAACTATGGATAAAAGCCAGTGCATTGCTTCACTATTACACAATTCCCTGGAAGATGATATTCTCCTTGCACACAGCCACACTCCTACAGAAAAGCGAGTTAAAGAAGGTTTTTGTCAGGTTTGATAGCTAAATCCTATGTGCTTTTCCTTCTTTGTCAGATTGTCAGATTGCTTTTTATCCAAGAAGCTGAGTCATTTTTCTCCTTTTCTAAGCTCCTGCCTTCTCCCTCCCTGTGCTCCCCTGTGTTGTTAGCGAGGCATTTCACCACAGTTTGAATAATTCAGCACATTTTCTCATCTCATGACCCTTGTGTGGGAGTCGATAGGCCATGGTTCATTATATTATTGTATGTGTGCAAAAAAGTGAAGTAGGCGATGGTTCACTATATTATTGTATGTGTGCAAAAAAAGTGAAGTAATTGCCTTCTACTGCTGGCTGTATACCTGGTTTAATGAGCCTATTGGAAACCCACACATAGCTGGCAGTATTTTGATGACTTACATGTATTTCTCTGGGAAAAAGAGTATTCCTTGTTGGTGGTTGTGTTTTTTTCACACAAGTAGTGGAAAGTCATGGCTGCTGCTTTTTCTCGTAAACATTTTTTTGATTGTAGAAGGTGGAATTTCTGGGATCTTGTCACTCTAAAACTGCTAACACTTTGTAGAGCAGACAGAACACATCTGGAGGGAGCTTGTGTGGAAGTAAACAAAAAACTAGCCAAGTGACAAGGCTGTGGTATCTTAGAGAATCACACAAGCATCAAAACAAAATCACTGTCCTTTGCTCACCGTTTATTTTTTAAGTGCAAGTATAGAACAAGAATTTTTCCACTATGGTACAGCACAGTGCACAGCCAAATATGTAATATTAGAAGACTGTGTTGTGGACCTTGCCAAGTTTGTCACCAGCATTACTGGAACTGGTTGCAGATAGAAATAATGCAATTACTTGAACTGAAGCATTGTGTCCATCGAAGAAACCTTCATGGGCTGGGGGGGAAAAAAATGATGGTGATCCTATATGTTTGAGTGAACTACAATACTCCGAACCCAAATATTTTGTTAATCATATCTCTGACCTTGAGGTAAATAGCAATACATGTACTTTTTATGTTGACAGTTTCATCCTGATGTACAGTTTCTCAAAGCTTTGATACCATGTCATGATAACTATACCTTAAAAGGCTCATATTGGGCTATTTTCTGATCTATGTTATAATGTTGTTTCCTCATCACACACATATCTGGAGTTGTGTTTTGTTTCATTCACATATGCTTAACACACAAGCTCTGTATATTTAGGCATATTAGTTTTTCTCTTAAACAGAAACCATATGTTCCATCTTTATTAGACAAAAGATTGATATCATCTTGAAATCTATTGCTTCATGTCATCACAAGGAGGAACAGAGCCTTTTGAGCTTTGGTGATGTAGACATACTAGGGTGAAACAAGGATTACTCAAATGTGTGAATGAAACAAAGCACAACTTCTGGTATGTTTTTGATTCTAAAATGGCTTCAAACTCACAAAAGTCAATTTTGTATAATATAGGACCGTTTACAAGCCTTATTAAAGCATGAACAAAGACCTAATTCAGAGTGAATAAGTAGTTTACTCTAAATGATTCAGGCTTAGTAGCTACTTAATAGATTAGCTGTTAGGGTCTTGTTGACAGTGTTGCTAGTAAAAGAGTACATGCATTTTTAACCGTTACCTCTACTTTTCTACCATATGCCAAACCAACATGTCCATTTTCACATATTATGTCTTAACAAACACCACAGGCTATTTTGTTATGCATTGTCCTTATTTTACCTCAGTAACTCCTATATCTTATGGTGGTTGATTCCCAGTATACATTATGCACAGTGGGATAAAAACATGTCGAATCAAATGCCTGTCTCTGTATGTTATTCTCACACGCTGCTGCTGGCTGCTCTGCCAGGCTGCCTCAGTGTGGGCACGTGAGGGCGAGCGAGCTGAAGAGGCATGGAGAGAGTGAGAGGAGGAGGGTCTGGGGGGCTCTGTGTGGCTGGACATGTGAGTGTCTATAAGCGTTAGCGTTCAGGAGCTATGTCTCTCTGCTCTGCAGCTTTTGGGCTCTGGGCCTATTTATACACCCACTCCCACACACCACTGTGACATTTGTGCTTGTATCAGTTCACCTCATCCTTTCGTTCCTGTCTTTCATCTCATCTTTTATCTTCTTAGGATGTGTGGTCCTTAGATGTGGGGGCCCACTCACCCCCTCTACCATCCTGACTCTGGGGTCTTGTACGAGGTAGATTTGAGCTGAGGAGAGCAGACAGATCAAGGCCACTGCTGACAAAAAGGTGTTGTATCCCGACAGACTTGCAAGGTTACATTATCTTTCGTCACCTTTCAAGAACAGCTGTTGTTAAAAGTGCACAGAAATACTGATATAAATAGGGCATTCTATTTAAAATCACTACTGTCCAGAAGATTTTCCTGTACTAGATGTGCAATGTTTTATCATTTGGACTAGAACAGGTCAGACTAGGAGACATTTTGTGTGTGGGAATGTGCAGTGTTTGACAGTCAACACACTTGACTCATTATCTCATTATCGCCTTGGTCTACGCTACACTGCCATTACATAACACTCTCTTTATGCAATTTTATTTAGCAACCCCATTACATCACTGAAGCTACAAAGACATTTTAGAAAAATTATATTAATTTTAAGGAAGAATGCATGTTATGTATGTAACTATCCTTCAGCTGAGTCATTCTATGTTATTGAGCATACACAGTAGATTGTATCTAACGTTACATGTGGATATTTTCTTAAAGGAAATGTATGTAATCTACATTAAGCAGAGCTGTACAAGCACATACTGATGATTAGCTGCATGCGTTGTGGTTTAAGTAGTGAGGATTCAGATCAGAGAGAGTCCTTTTATGTTTAACCCAACTTGATTTCACTATTGAAAATGGTAACCCAAATAAGGAGACGCATGTAAAGCTCATTGTATTTTCTGATTGGATAATCATCTTGAGAATCAAAACACACAGTTATAACATAAAGCATAAATATGCAGAAAATGATTTAACAGTTAAAGGTATATTTGATGTGAACCTGTCTACCTCATATCTGGAAACACAGACAGGTCATGTTTATGGAATTTAAAATCCAAATCATACATACATACATACATATAGACAGACAGACAGACAAACATGCATATTCACATACATACATACATACATACGTACACACACATACATACATACATACACACATACATAAATACATACATACACACATACATGCATACACATACACCAGATTTGCCACATATACCAAAACTATGATATACTGATGTTTAGAAAGGTTTACTTGAGTCCCACAAAAGCAGCAGACAGGTTATGAAGCCAATCTTAAGATGATAAGTAGCTCCATATTGTGTTGGCGTGGGCCGTGGGAATTATGGTGTTATGTAATTGGCATAAACAGTCGCTGAGGCCCGAGGCAACCATGACTGAGAGCGATGTGGGACCTACCCCGTCTGCTGCTGCTGCTAACCGGCCTCTACTCTTAAGTTGCTCCTGCCTTTAGCACTCTCCCTGGCTCTTGCATAACAGTTTCTTCGGCCCCATCAACCAAAGGAAGCATGTGACCATGAGAAGGGTTCCTTCTGGCTTTTCTTCTCTGTCCTTCCTTCCCCCTCTCTATCCTTAGCACAAAAGGGTTTTCCCATGCACCAGCTATAGAGCCATTATGTTAACACACACACATGCATCTCCACTCAGGACAGAGTTCCAGCTTATTGGCCATCAACTGTAAATATAATCTTCTAAGAACCTGTTAATGATTAAGTAAAACAGCTGCCTATGGGGATGGGGTTGTAAACAGTGTAGACAGATGCACCTCCATGCACTCATACAAACATCGATTATGATGTGAATGTGGTGCGCATGACAAATCAGAACAAACCCACGCATTTAAACTCAAGCACTGAGGCTGTAAGGCTATCAATACACATGGTATAGCCCTGGTTTATGACTCTTTTAGTCATGGTTGCTTTTTTAAAATGTATTTATTAATCTATGTTTATTTTTGTTCTGGTTTAACTACGAGTTCATCAAGGCCTTTTGATAATTGGTTTGGTCTTGCTGGCTTAAACCTAGTTGAGTTCTGCCTGGCTTAGTCCTTTAGTTATTTTAAAACTAAATTTAATGCTTGGTGCCCAACTCTTTAAAATGACTAGTTAAAACTGTCTTAACTAATTCAATATGAGATGGGGATGACAACAAGGTGTAGTCCCCATCCCTTTTTCCAGATGTCTGTCCTATAAGTGTCCTTTACTTTTAATCCATTTGTCCTCTCTGCACTCCCCAACCGTTTCAACATACAGCACGTGCAGTGTAAACCACCATGCATGCACCTATATGTGTGGGTGTGATAATATAGACAGGAATTTAAATCAACATGCTGAAGTAAATGAGTTTTTCTTGGATCATTATTTAACGTAGACATCAACACAAATCAGAACTGTGAAGTTCAAAGAGGGATGAAGTCAGCAGAGACTGTGTTGCTATGGAAATCAGTTCTTCTGCCTCTGCGCTTCACCTGCTGGTTGGGGGGTGGGGGGGGGGGGGGGGGTATGCTGCTATCATGGGGGCCATGGTGTGTTGTGACAGGTTCACTAAAGACGTATTTTTACAGATTACATCAGCAATTAAATTACAAGATCCACCACCATGCCATATGTTTTTGGTTTAGTTGTGATTAGAAGATGAACCAATATAGTGCGTCTGCTTAGCATTAGGCCTATTTCAACTGAAGTCATGTATTAAACAAATACTTGAGAAGCTTGTCATGCCAGCACTGCTCTATTTAGGCCTATTTGCCCGCTGTGAAGAAATGCTACATTTAACATACTTACACAAGGCATTACTCTTATTTTATGGGCAAAACTTGATTCTGTTTGTTTGACAGCTCAGATATTAACTCCTGCTTGCATGAATATTGTTCATGTGGCGTCACATGAGCCAGCAACCGACTGCACGTGCAGGGCGCACGGCACTACTAGCGAGAGGAGGAGCAGCGAGTGCGCATGATCAAATGTAAACACAGAGCACTTGCACATCCAAGTCCACAACTGCACTTCTTTTAACAATCGGACCAGACACCTGGAAAGTAAAGGGAAATGAGATTCTCGTACAGCTGTAGACCGGCTTACTTTGACCTTTCAGCACTCTGGACAGCGCTCCGCTCTGGTGCGCGTGTGGCATGTGCGCTGGAGAAGTGACCACTGGTAGTGTCAGGAGCTGGTGGGGCGCACGGACAACGAGCATGGCGGACTCTCCATCACATCTTTCTGTCTAACTGTCACCACGAGGATGAACATACCGGAATTTTTACTTCAAGTGTCCATCGTGGTCATAGCGGTGGTCTCTCTCTTGACCAACTTCTCAGTCGTGCTATGTTTTATGCAAAGCAGCGAGCTCAGGTCCCACGTCCCCGGCGTCTTTATCCTAAACCTGTCTTTCTCCAACATCCTGCTAACTGTTATAAATATGCCCGCCACTTTTCTTGGTGTGGTTGAAGGAGATACGCCATTCGGGGATTTGTTCTGTCAGGGCGTAGCGTTTGCAGAGACTTTCCTCACCACTAATGCCATGCTGAGTATGGCAGCGCTGAGCATGGACAGGTGGGTAGCGGTGGTTTTCCCTCTCAGCTACTCCAGTAAGATGCGCTACAGAGACGCTCTTCTCATTGTGGTGTATTCCTGGCTGCACTCGGGGACATTTTCTGTAACACAACTGCTTATGGACTGGGGCGGATTCAGCCACACGTACGCGTCCTGCACCGTGCACCTGAACACCGAGGCAGGTTCACCGAGGAGTACCTTTGCAACTTTCACCGCACTGTTTCACAGCAGCAGCTTTGCGCTCTGCCTACTGGTTCTTTGCTTCGCCTATATAAAAGTTTTGCGCGTTGCAAGATTTCACTGCAAAAGAATAGATGTTATCACAGTGCAGACTTTGCTTCTTCTGGTTGACATCCACCCAAGGTAACTTTAATATGATGTATATTGTGTCCTTGAGTGTGTATGTGCGTGTGTGCGCGCACGTGCATATGCGCGCGCGCGCATGTGTGTGCGTGCCTGTGTGCGTGCTTGTGTATGTCTGTGTGTGTGAGATACTCTATAGTTTTAATGGGATTATTTACTTTACTTTTGTCAGTGTAAAGGAGCGATGTTTAGCTCAGCAGAAAAAGAGGAGACAGCGCGCCACAAAGAAGATTTTCATCTTTATCGGCTCTTTCATCTTTTTCTTCTCACCTTATGTAATAACAAGGTAATATCCGTTTTGTATGTTTTGTACAATAATGATTGCCCTGTAAATGCCCTTACATTTTGACAGTAGTCGAACATAATTATTTTACCTGTGGAATTTGATTATAAAGTTTCATTACAAAAACATTTCTTACTTTTCTTAACATGCTGTTTGATGGCAGTAGGATAGAACTTATTTAATATTTGTGTTTGGAAAGCCTCTTATGATATTTCTAGTGTACACAAGCTTACAGGTTTGTCGGACTCTGTATTCTTTCTGCTATCTGATCACAGTTTAAGTGTTACATGTATTCAGTAAATGATGTTTCATTCTTACTTGTGCAGACTGGTGGAGCTGGTGCCCTCAGTGCACATCCCAAGATACTGGGGTATCTCATCGAAATGTCTGTCCTATGCCAAGGCCTCCACAGACCCGTTTGTGTACTGCCTCCTGAGGCAACAGTACAGGAGAGCTCTGGTCAGCGTCATCTGCAGAGTCCTGAGACAGGACCACTACACACTGTCAGTGCACAGTGCTCACAGCAGTACTCTGGACACCTCAGAAGACAACTATGTCATTAAAAATGCTCTCACCTAGTTTAAATGTGCCCCTCACGCTGCAGGGTCAAAGGTCAGAATGAACCTCAGCGAAGTGCCTTGCTCAAGGACACTCTGCACTTGACTGTTAGCCGCTGTGCTTTCATTGGGAGACTGTTACAGACACAAAACAATGTATTTTGACTATGACTGTCTGACTTCTTCAGGTTTTTCCAGAGGGCTCTGTTTGCTTGTTGAGACAATGCCAAGGATTACACTCCACATCTGAAGTAGGACGCACACACTGTATTATTATCTCTAAATGTGTGTTTGAAGTATACCACTGTGTTTGTGGAAAAGACTGCTCTTCATGTTTCTGTGAAACTGAAAATATATATTTATTCAACTATATCTAAACTTATATTTGGTGGCATTTTAGCACAGTGCAACTATTTAAGTGTGATTTGTAAGGGCATCAACAATAAAGGCAAAAACCCACATGAATGGGTCTGTGTGTGTTCTAAAGCTGTCAAAATTACTGTTACTATTTCTATGGCTATATTAAAGGTACACTGTGTAACTTTTCTGGTGCAGGGTCCGCCACTTGCTTGTCTTTGTGGAGATGTTATTCCTTTGCCTTGAATGTTCCACATTATTTCATTAAACTTATCAGAAAAACAGGTGATGCCATTACTACATAGAAAAAATGAGCTATCAAGTACTACACCACAGTAATACACTTGTAGTGCTGTTACAGGTCATGTTATTTAAATCGTATCTGTGGAGAGGCAAATTCACTCTCAGTAAGAATGCAGCCTTTTTTTTATTAATACATAATTTTTTTTACGAATTTTTTTTTATTATTATTATTATTATAGCGTTTAATCAAGGAAGAGAGAAGAGAAGAATCTTTCATAATAAATGACAAGTTCGTGTTTGTGTTAATGAAATCACCCCCATCAGCAAAGTTCCATGGTCTATCTTTAACTTTTAAATAAATCTAAATTATGCCCTTAAACCTATGCAGTCATCACAGACTTTCGATAATATTACATTGTTATAAATACATAATATAAAATAGGTAACAACCAGCCCTATAGGCCACACTGCTGTCTTGTGTCCCTCGCATACAGACAAAAAACAGCGCAGTGAAATCTGATCTCTGCTGCTGTAATCGTGGGGCTCACCGCTTCTCTGAGGTCAGGGATGCACTGTGCGCACAAAAGAAGGAACTTTCCCAGCGGCGGGAGGTAATTATCAGCTCTGCAGTCGGGGACTCAGAAGAACTGCCTTCCACTCTGCCACATCACACGCCACAGAAGTCAGGCCGAGTGCAGCTACACCATGCTTTTAGGAGTTCTGCTACTCTTTCTGTTGTTGACGGAGAGTTGGTCTGCTCCTCAGCAAGCGTGTGCTCCGGAAGATGAGGTTTTCGGTAAGGTAAAGGTCATTGATAACTAAACTCCTGTTTTTGTGCTCTGTTAACAAGCTATAAACTGGTAAACCACTCGAGTATAATGGCGAACATTTTTCTTATTAAACAAAGGGGTCATTATCTTGTGTGGCCTTTATAAAGATATGTGCTATTTTTTATATCATATTCTAAAGTTTGAAGTCGTTGATATTGTCGTCGTCCATGCACACTGCTATGAGATTTTTGCATGTTGTTTGCGTCTCATTTGAAACATGTCGCCTCCTAGTGTCCTGTTTCTTTTCTTTCCCAGGGAGATGCAACAGTAATGCGTTTGAAGAAACACGTAAGTGTTTTAATGTTGCTCGTATTAACAGTAAAGATATTTTGTCGACATGCTGTGCGCCAGGATTGTAGGTCGTCGTTGACCTAGGTGACTCAGTGGTAGAGCTCCTGGGAACAGGAAATACCAGCGCAGGATGTGACAAGTCTGGCCATCTGGGGAACTGGTGGAGGGCACCTGGCTACACTTCTTCCACACCTGGATTTTTGTCTTCAAAATCCCCCAAATTTATTGCACCACATGTTACATAACTCAAGTGTATTTTACAGTTTTATATGCATACAGTCACCACATGTTGTTATTAAGATTTGGAATGCTAATGCTGACTCTCTCTTTCTCCAGCTAAATGCACAGAGATGAATCTGGGCTACTGCACTGATCTGGAGTATTCAAGGTGTGTTTTGAGACTGATTTTAAAATGTGATATCACCTGCCCACTCCATAACTGCTATGCTTACCTGTCTCATGTGCAACTCCTCATATCAAGGTCACATTTATTTATATGGCACATTTCTGGTGCCATTGCAAAAATAACATTGTCGTGTGCATTAGAATCATGTTTGGAATCATTGATCCTTCCTGTTTATGTATCAGCATTAATTGTTAAATGTTAAATAGGGACACATACCCTGGAATGCTCTGTAGTATGGCATTTTGCGTAGAAGTTCAAGGGAGAGTAGCACACATGATAACCTTTTTTAGGTGCAGATGCAGGAGTAGATGCACTAAAATTTCAAACAAAATTTAATTTTCTTTGAAATTCTGGGTAAAAATAACACCATACTGACACTAATGATACACATGGAAATGAATTATGTACTAGATATACTGGTCTTTGTTATGTTCCTGCTACCATGTTTTCACTTTTATAATTCTTTCAGAACCATATTCCCAAACATCCTGGGACATCGGTCTAGAGTTGAGGCAGAATCAGGGGCGGAGTACCTCCTCTTGAGTGTGATCCATGGGTTGTTGAATGGAGAGTGCTCTCCTGAGATCCGTCTGGTTGGCTGTTCTGTTCTTGCCTCTCCGTGTCGAAACAACCGCATGATCAAGCCCTGTCGGAACTCATGTGAAGCACTGAGGAAAGACTGCGCTCACGCCTTTGAGTCTATAGAAATGGCCTGGCCCTACTTCCTCGACTGTGACCGCTTCTTTGCCAGTGATCAGGAGGGCTGCTTTGATCCTTTGGCTGGACTGAGAGGTACAGCTTATTACCATGTCTTCTGAACTATAATATTTTGGGTTAAAATTCATGCACAGTAAATTGGTTTATACAATTTTTTTTATATACATACAAAAGTAAATCACCCTATTTTTTCTAAATTATGAGAAGAAAAGGTATTACTTAAAACTTTTCTGGTGTCATGTATTGATTGTCTCCATGGAGAAGTTATTGCTTTGCCTGAAATGGTCCAAAATAAAAGATGCATTTATTTACTTGTGGGTGGGTTAATTGTTCAGTAATACCTTTTTTACTTTGAGGGCTTGTCTCGCCACAAATCTAACCTGTAACTTTGTCTGGAAGCATCATCTCATCAACTTTAATTCTGTATTTTGGAAATTTCCAGGCAACGCAAAACATCATCATGAAGACTGGCAGGTGCAAACCCTTGTCCCAAAAAAATTTGATACTGCACCTTTAAACACACTGTATGTAAAGAAGGAAAATAAAGAGAATAATTGAGTAGAAGTATTATTATTTTACTTTCCATTATAGATTGGTCTCTTGAGTACACAGTTTGTGTGCTTCTTCTTTGTCTACTTCTAGCCAGACAAGAGTTAGCTCTGTCCAGTCTTTCTCCAGAGGAACCCAGCACTATCATCCAGTTCACGTACACATCCAATGCCCAGATGTACAACCTACTCCGAAGAACTGCAGCCAAGTGCTCCCACATCTCCCACGTGTACAGCATCGGGCGCAGCACAGAAGGCCGAGACCTACTGGTTATTGAGTTCTCCAACAACCCAGGGAAACACGAGTTATGTGGGTATAATAACAAATACATTTTTCAACCCAAGGGCTGGATTTTTGATGACATGACAATAATATCAAATGCATACTAGAATGGGGTGGCTAAAATAAATATTCTTTTTTGAAATGTAGCTGTGGATTTCAGAATGATGAAAAATGTGTTTCCATAACAGTTAAAAATTTAAAACTACATAAGTCTTCCTTAACAGGAAGATGAAGCCCATGATTATGGTTTAATCACATGTTCTAATCACTCAAGAAAAAAAACAAAAAACGGAAAATGTTTGTTTTTGACCTATATTATTTCATGTTTAGAGCTTCAGGACATTGTCTGATAGTCCCACCCCATTACAAAATGCATTTAGGGAGTCCACTAGTCACACGTTTTGGATATTTCTTATGAGAATACAACATAAACAATAGGAAATACTGGTGTTTGACCCATCATGCAAAGAGGTTAGCTCACCTCACAGCAAGAAGGTCCTGGATTCTGGGGTGGTGCGAGGCTTTCTGTGTATAGTTTGCATATTCTCCCTGTGCCTAGGTTTCCTCCTGGTGCTTTGGTTTGTATGATGTACAGTAAGACTTTTATTAAGTAGCGTTTGTATATGTTTACACTACCAACTGTCACTGTCAACTTCAGAAGATGAATATATTATTGTACTCATCTTTAATATGTTGATATATATTTTATTTTTGTATTTCTAATCTTTTCTTTATGTCACAGTGGAGCCAGAGATCAAATTGGTAGGCAACATGCACGGTAATGAAGTTTTGGGTAGACAGCTGCTCATATATCTGGCCCAATACTTGTGCTCTGAGTACATTTTGGGGAACCAACGCATCCAAACCATCATCAACACTACACGCATCCACCTGCTGGCCTCCATGAATCCTGATGGATACGAGCTGGCTGCCTCTGAGGTAGAAGATAACAGTGACCCGGAGCTCAGCAACCATGAAGTAAATATTGTTAACGACACACGAGACAAACCTATAATATCCGCTCTTACTGAATTGCAGAGGGTAGGAGAAGAAAACACATTTACTGTACACTGTATGTTGAAATATGTGATTTGATTTAAAATCCATTGCATATTATTGCATTCAGATGTTGATATAAAATGCTGTATATGGCATAAAAAAGTGAATGTGTAATTCTTCTTCCTCCCACCTATCTGTCTGACAATTTTCATTATTTTGTGGTAATTGGTCTGGAAATTAGATGTTAAATTGTGGTTCTCCTGATAGAGTTTGTACAGCACTCTTTTGAGCATGACATTTCAGCTGCCTTGCTTCCAGTGTTTAATTTATAATTTTTTGAATGCTATG